CATGTCGAAACCTATCGGTAGGTGGTGCTAGAGCACCTGCCCCTTTCGCCTCTGGACACTGGCGTAACGACACAAGAATAGGCCCGTAACCAACATTATCTGGTTGGGTCCCATATGAAGTACAACACGTGATAAAGGTTCAGGATACGGCGACAGTTCCATAAATCGGCCAAGAAGATACAATTATGCAATTCTCAGTAGTATATGATCACACATCACACCCGGAAAAATAGTGACTGTGCACCTTGAATCGAACCGGTGCTGACAGCGCACCACTACATGTTACAGACATCCAAAGTTCCAAAAACTAATTTTAGGGAGATTCATATCGAATTTAAATGGCTCAACATTATGTTGAAATCTGGCATGTGTTGCAGTACAAATAAGTTCCGGTGCGGCCAGTCACTGCACTATGAGGTGGGTTTAAGAGGAATTCTTCGCACCATTAGATCCACAAAGATACATACTAGTCAACAATTGCTTAGGGGGCCTACCAGGTGCCAGTATATTCGGCTTGTTTTTATGAAAACTAAAGCACACAAGTTACCTTTTGTCTTTTAAACATTTCATTTAAAGGCAAACATGAGGCCTAATGATCACAATTCGTAAAAATAACTATTATAAGGTTCTATTCTGTTAAAGGGGGGTGTGAAGATGAAGTTGCATTTTCAATTTGTGTGTTTATTGACAGACATCTTAGACTGTAAAAAAAAAAAAAAAAAAAAGAAATTATTGTCCCCAATATGAAAAAGGGAAATAAGATGACTTAAATAAGATTATTGCATATTATGCACTTGAAATTAATTGTCATATATATACCCAATAAAATTTAAGATATTTTGGAATTCTGGGCTTTATATTTGAAGTGGTCATTTATTTAATTGACATTAATATGCCATGTTAATAGGCCAATATGTTATGGACTGTGGAAGATCTGAACATCAGGCGGTGTTTGGCTGTTGGCCCCTCCATGCAACATATAAGGTGCCTTTTGTCCAACCTGAGCACCTGCCCCCAAAAATGTCTGTGAATGCCACTGACTATAGGATCTATATGCCTGTTTGGAATGGAGGTTTCCCAGTTCCCTGAGTAAATAAGAATCCTATTGGCCTCCTTGATGCGACCCTAAGCAACCATTTTTTTTGTTGGACATTTTTGCTTGTTATGGGTTTCCTATAAAGTAGAGAGTGATGAATGAACCCTTCTGGGTGTAAGATCACATGCAGATGACATGGCTTCATTCCTGGACCGTTTATGGTTAAAATTCCAAGTATTTTAGCATATCTTTATATGTCAGCTAATTAACTCAGTTAAAAAAAAAAGGGAAAAAACACTTGGCAAATATGTTGCAACATAATTTTTATTTAATCATTGCTACAGCCGTTATTGTGATTACATTCATGCCTCTTTTTCAAAGGTCCTCACTGCCTCCACATTTCCCCTTTTGGATCTCTGTGCAAAGAAAAAGAAAGTGAGTTTAGGGGTCAGAACATAAAAAGTTGTACAAATCTCAGGTTGAGCATTGTTGTTTTTTTGTATTTTTTTTTTTTTTTTGGTACATCCTATAAATAAGAAGCAGTTACATTTAGCTTTCAATATGATTATAACATGGAACATTAAATATCAAAATTTGTTAAAAGTAAAAATACCCTGAAAACATCTACAAATGGATTATAGTAGCAAAAAATTCAAAGAACACTGGATCTTACTGCAATCAATTGCCCATCTGAGATCTCACGCTCGATGATAAAGTCTCCACCATCGCCGCTGTGCTTCTGAATAAGCTTTCCATTTTCCAAAGTTACCACAGTCTGGGGAGAAAAAAAGAGGGGTTGTATTTTAGCAGACAAGAAACACAAACTGGAATTTCTCTTGCATCTCCAATCCATCTAACCTTTGTCTCCTTGTTGTTGATGGTCTTCTGAACAAAAGGTTCATTCAGCTTAAACTGGATTTCAGGGGTTCCGAAGATGTTCAGAGACTTCATAGAAATCATGCCCTGATCGTCCATGCTCAGCGTGAATTTGGGTCTGTTCTGGTTTGCCGTTTGTCGTTGAGATGCTCCCATGCCTGTAAGAAAGAATCAGCACACACCTGCTCACTTAAAAATGCAAGACAAAATCACTTCTCTGTCGGATTTGCAGATTCAACGTTGTTTGACATAGAGACTATGCGGTAGATTTTGTCTTAATCATAGTTTTTCTTACCAAATGCCTTCATAAGTTCATCAAAGTTCTCACTGGAGGTCATCTTCCAGGTTCCGACGAACTGCTCAACCATTGTTGCGATCTTGAGTTTGGGATCTCTACTAACAACCTGTTAATTAATAGCAGACAGAAGCCTCTCCTTCCAGTGTACAGAACAGCACAGGTGTCGGTGTATTTATATGGTTAGTTATGAAAAAAACAACCTTTGGGAACCAATCAGCTGTCTTTGTGACGCCTTCAGTCCCACCTCTAATAATGTCTCTCTTGCTCAAATTTGCCTCTACTTAGCATACAAACCAGTTATATGGTTCCTATTTTGGATCAGTTGAGATTAACACAAATATTTCTATGGTAATAGAATAATGAGACAGATATCCTTTTAATTTTTTATTGCTGTCGTCAAAGTCAGAAGTCTGCATACATTAAGCATTGCATTTCCTTCGATTCATTTGGGATGACCAGATGGGAATAGCACGGCTTTGTAAACTTAGGATAGAACAGTACACCTCACAGACTTTAGCTTTATGAGGAGATTGCTTTGTGTGGAACATTTTTGGGACAATGATGATCAACTTTATTAGTCATTGTGAATGAACAACCAAATCTGTCTTCTGCCATTAAGTCGTCCCTAAAAGAGTAGTGGGCAGGCCGCAGCTCCTAGAAAGCAATTTGGGGTTAGGGGTCTTTTTAAGTAGAAGCTTTTGGGGTTTTGAACAAAATACCCGCTGCCTTCTTGAATGCACAAGTGTTCTGCTCCAAACACAACTAATTTTAAAATAATTTGCAGCCATTCTTAAAGCCACCAGCTCAACAAGATATTAACTCTTCGTGATAGAAGACCTTGCCTCTAGTCACCATGTTTGTTTTCTTAAATTCATATGGACTCCATGATAATAAGATTGTAGATGTACTTTATGCATGATATATATGCCCAGTATCTGTTGTGTAGAAATGCAGCATTGTGGAACCAAGACCTTCAAATAAACGGAATGATGATAATATTAAGAAAATCTTATGTATTTGTTGAGTTTATTTTATGGGACAGAAACACATTAACAAAGACATACTGAAAAAACATCAGCCCCTTGCTGGCATAATGGTGCTTATAGCCAGTACTGGAGTTGAGGGGGGATGAGGGGGGTGGCTTCCCCCCTTTCTTAAAAAAATCTTAAAAATCATCCCCTTTCTTAAATGACCATCCCCCCATACCATCCCCTGTGACATTTTATCTCTCAATATATAAAATTTCTACTATATATCAACAGTAATGGCAATAATATGAATTATACTATGAATTACTTATTTGGAAGGTGGGGTTTATTAGGAGGTGGGGTATTAATAAGTTTAGGGTTACTACCGATCCCTAACTGTTAATCAAAAGCTTCACTAGTAAAGTTAGGTTAGATTGTTGTTAAGAATGAACCAAACAGGAGATGAGATGACACCATCCATCCAGGAAAGGATGTCATCTGGGGATCATTTCATTTGACTTTAGGTAGGGATGTAAACATGTCGAAACCTATCGGTAGGTGGTGCTAGAGCACCTGCCCCTTTCCCCTCTGGACAAAAAAATGCCCTCCTGAAATTGTTTTTCATTTAGTTGTTTTTTTAACTTTGTTTAGTCTTTGGCCAAAAATACCATTTATGAATTTAAAAGCCTATCAAATGCAGAGTCTACATTTTAGTAATTTTGCTCTTTAAGACATGCAGCACCAACTCAATACAGCCTTGTCCTGGTGAAGGGCCAGCTAACCTTCCAGGTAACTAAACAAGCGATTTACCTCCGTATTTAATGGCTTCTACCAGGCGCCAAACAACGGTTTAAAATGCAACTCTTTTATTAGATTAGAAAAGAAATAATAACTTAAAGATTCTCATAGTTGTAATTATGGTTTGCTGTAACTGTCCCTGTCAGGGACTCCTTGTTGACATATATTCAGCTTGTTTCTATGACAACTACAGCAAACAAGTTACCTTTCATCTCTTAAACATTCCATTTAAAGGCAAACATGAGGACAAATGATCATAATTCATAAAAATAACTATTTTAAGGTTCCATTCAGTTAAAGGAGGGTGTGAAGATGAAGTTGCATTTTCAATTTTTGTGTTTATTGACAGACATCTTGGACTGCAAAAAAAAAAAAAAAAAAACTTATTGTGCCCAACCTGAAAAAGGGCAATAAGATAATTTAGATTAGATTATTACATATTTTGCACCTGAAATGAGATAAAAACTTATGATTATCATATTTTAAATGCAAATCATACAGAAATTGTCATATATACCTAATAAACTTGAAAATATTTTGGAATTCTGGGATTTATATTTGAAATGGTCATTTATTTAATTGACACTAATATGCTATTGCTAGTTATGGACTGTGGAAGATCGTTAGAATGTCAACATCAGGCGGTGTTTGGCTGTTGGCCCCTCCATGCGATGTATAAGGTGCCTTTTTTCCAACCTGAGCACATGCCCCCAAAAATGTATTTGAATACCACTGACTATAGGATCTATATGCCTGTGTGGAATGGAGGTTTCCCAGTTCCCTGAGTAAATAAGAATCCTATTGGCCCCCTTGATGCAACCATTTTTTTGCTGCATATTTTTGCTTGTTATGGGTTTCCTATAAAGTAGAGAGTGATGAATGAATCCTTCTGGGTGTAAGATCAAATGCAGATGACATGGCTTCATTCCTAGACCGTTAATGGTTCAAATTTAAAGTATTTTAGCATATCTTTATATGTCAGCTAATTAACTCAATTTAAAAAAGGAAAAAAACACTTGGCAAATATGTTGCAACATTATTTTTATTTAATCATTGCTACAGCCGTTCCATACAAAACCCAATATCAATCTGGAATTAGACAGATAAACCAAGCTGTGCTTTTCATGATGGATTACGTTCATGCCTCTTTTTCAAAGGTCCTCACTGCCTCCACATTTCCCCTTTTGGATCTCTGTGCAAAGAAAAAAAAGCGAGTTAGGGGTCAGAACATAAAAAGTTGTACAAATTTCAATAGAGGTTGAGCATTGTTGTTTTTTGTATTTTTTTGGTCCATCCTATCAATAAGAAGCAGTTACATTTAGCTTTCAATATGATTATAACATGGAACATTAAATATCTAAATTCGTTAAAAGTATTTTTTTTTTATGAAAATGGGGCAAAAAAATATCCTGAAAACATCTAAAATGGATTTTAGTAGCAAAAAATTCAAAGAACACTGGATCTTACCGCAATCAATTGCCCATCTGAGATCTCACGCTCGATGATAAAGTCTCCACCATCGCCGCTGTGCTTCTGAATAAGCTTTCCATTTTCCAAAGTTACCACAGTCTGGGGAGAAAAAAAGAGGGGTTGTATTTTAGCAGACAAAAGAAATAAACTGGAATTTCTCTTGCATCTCCAATCCATCTAACCATTGTCTCCTTGTTGTTGATGGTTTTCTGAACAAAAGGTTCATTCAGCTTAAACTGGATTTCAGGGGTTCCGAAGATGTTCAGAGACTTCATGGAAATCATGCCCTGATCGTCCATGCTCAGCGTGAATTTGGGTCTGTTCTGGTTTGCCATTTGTAGCTGAGATGCTCCCATGCCTGCAAGAAAGAATCAGCACACACCTGCTCACTTAAAAATGCAAGACAAAATCACTTCTCTGTCGGATTTGCAGACTCAACGTTGTTTGACATAGAGACTTTGCGGTAGATTTTGTCTTAATCACAGTTTTTCTTACCAAATGCCTTCATAAGTTCATCAAAGTTCTCACTGGAGGTCATCTTCCAGGTTCCGACGAACTGCTCAACCATTGTTGCGATCTTGAGTTTGGGATCTCTACTAACAACCTGTTAATTAATAGCAGACGGAAGCCTCTCCTTCCAGTGTACAGAACAGCACAGGTGTCGGTGTATTTATATGGTTAGTTATGAAAAAAAACAACCTTTGGGAACCAATCAGCTGTCTTTGTGACGCCTTCAGTCCCACCTCTAAAAATGTCTCTCTTGCTCAAATTTGCCTCTACTTAGCATACAAACCAGTTATATGGTTCCTATTTTGGATCAGTTGAGATTAACACAAATATTTCTATCAGGTAATAGAATAATGAGACAGATATCCTTTTAATTTTTTATTGCTGTCGTCAAAGTCAGAAGTCTGCATACATTAAGCATTGCATTTCCTTCGATTCATTTGGGATGACCAGATGGGAATAGCTGGGTTTTGTAAACTTAGGATAGACCGGTACACCTCACAGACTTTGGCTTTATGAGGAGATTGCTTTGTGTGGAATATTTTTGGGATAATGATGATTAACTTTATTAGTTAGGCCACAGTCCCTTTGAGAATAAATCCCAATGTATCTTCTATGAAGTTATCTGTTGAGTTGAAATGCAGTATTGTAGAACCGAGATGTTCAATTAGGAATGATGACAATAATAAGTAAATTTTATTTATTTGTTGAGTTTATTTTATAGGACAGAAACACATTAACAAAGACATACTGAAAAAACATCAGCCCCTTGCTGGCATAATGGTGCTTATAGCCAGTACTGGAGTTGAGGGGGGAAGAGGGGGGATGGCATCTTAAAAATCATCCCCCTTCTTAAATGACCATCCCCCCATACCATCCCCTGTGACATTTTATCTCTTAATGTGTAAATTTATATTATATATCAACAGTAATGGCAAGAATATTAACCTTTAAACATTTGGCAGGCTGTTGGCTTACGAATAGCCTGAGCAAAATAAATAAAATCAAAGAAGTAGCCTACCATGACTATGAAGCTGAACCGAGTAGAAATGTTGTCCTCTGCATTAATCCCTAACTATGTAAGGGCAGTGATAGTCATGCAGGTCCAGGGACAGACTGCTGTTCTACAGTAAGGAGCCTTGGTCAAGGTCAATGACCCGGCGTACCTGACATGTAACAACCATTCCATGCATACTGTTTTAGGTAAATAGACTATATTCATTAGGATGTATGCTTCCAATGAAAAAAAAAATTCCACCATCCCCTTCTTTTTTTTTTTCACAAGTAGATTGCTGCTTATAGCATGAGCTAATTGCAGCTTCTGTCCTGAGGAGGCCCTTTATAAGCAAAGTAAAACACTACACTAAACAGAGTAATAAAAAAACATATTAAAATATAGATATACACAGAAGAGAGATTAAAATGAGTAAATATGTGTTATGATATATGTTAAACATTAATGCAATGCTGTTCTTTACAAAGCCAGGATTTGCTTTGTTTTGTGAAAATTTTATTCTGGTCAGAGATTTTAAATCAGCAGGGAGTGATTCCAAAGACCAGTACCTCTCACAGAGAGAGTGCTTTGGACAAAAGAGGCTTTACGGAAAGGGATCTTACAGTGTCCTCCTGACACGGCTCTGGTTGATCTACTACAGTTTATCTATAACGTCACTCGGTTGTTTAGGGGTCAATCCATTCAGGCACAAAAAAAGTGGTTTTTAAAAAATGTATCTAGAAAAGTTAAAAGACCTAAACTACTACACTATGCTGAAATATTAAAGTGGTGAAATCTGATTGGCTTTTAGTATAAGCCTGATTGTAAAAACTTCCCAAAGGTTTTAGGGTGGTTTGGTGACTCTGTGACCAGACAGTTTACCTTAGAAACAAGATGAATTGATTTGTGAATTCACAAACTCCTGAAAATATGCATTAGCATCGATACAGAAATGTTAAGGACCAAAATGCATGGCCTCTCCGATTTTAGCTGGAATACCCTTTTTCTTTTTGAAAAACAAGCATGCGATTTGCGCCTTTGTGGATGGAAAAGATGTTTGCTTGTTCCTCCTGGCCGGATTTGATATGGTTTTCAGTTAACTCCGCTAGCTGTGAAATAAATGTAGAATGTGATATGTCAACTGCTCCTGCCACTGCGATTGGCAGCCATTTTGGGAGGCAACAGCCACCTATTGATTTACCCAATCAGCTCAAAGAATTGTACTGGATGTCCCTCCTTTTTGGCGAACCCTTTCTACAGGAGCCTTTCCAGGTGGATACTTTGTAAAACTCAAATTGAACCTCAGATATCAATCTGATATATGCCAGGTTACCAGAGAGTAGCTGCATCGGAAAAGTGTGATAGAATCATCAAATTTAAGATAATCTCTGCACAACACACAGGCCAAGCATTGTGTTGATATTCAACAACACTTCATGATTGACCTTACAGACATATTTTTTTAACATGACTTTTAAAATCCAACTGGGAATCTAAAATCATTCCTCTACATTTTACCTCTGTTCAATTAATTCCTCATTAATCTGAACTTGCAAAGACAAAAGTTTTCTGGTTAAGAGATTAATTCCTTTGGTTTTCTTTGTGTTCAGGATCTAAAAGTAACTGTTTAGCCAAGTTGATATTTTTTGTAGTTGGATTTTCAATTTTTCACTGACTGCAGCACTGCTTTTACAAGACACATGCACGACTGTGTCATCAGCATAAATCTGCAAACTGACCTCTGGACAGATGTCAGGTAGACAATTAATATGAACTAAAGAAAACTGAAAAGGATGGGACCGAAATTAGTTCTTTGAGGAATCCCTGTTTTGATTTTGTGAAGGATGATCCAGTATTGTCCATGACGGGCGTGCAGGTGGCGCAGTGGTTAGTGCGCATGACCCATTTATGGAGGCCTTAGTCCTTTACCGCATGTCTCTCCCCCTCTCTCATACCCCCCTTTCCTGTCAGCCTACTGTCAGAAAAACTAGCCACTAGTGCCGGAAAAACAAAAAAAAAACTCAATATTGTCCATGATGACACAGTGTTAATGAAGGAAATGCATGTAAACATCTTACTTAGAGGAACCCTTAGATAAATATCATTAAAGCCTCCCTCTCATCATCCCAGGCACAGAAATGAAAGTGGAAATCCTAAACAAAAAGCTTTAGCCTGATCTAATATAAAACAATGAGGAAAAAAAGAATATCTTCCTTTTTATAGAATAATAAACTCTCAAATTCATAAATATTAAAAACCCAATATACTCACAGAACTCATCAGTCTCAGGATGCTGTTAGTAAGCAGGGCTATTTACAGTGTTAATGTTTGGTTAAAACTGAGGCCTAAACATGATTCCTCCTAGGAAAACTAATCTGTTTTGTTTAATGATGCTTTGGTCATATTGATGGATTTTTTTTCTCCACTGTATTTTGTTTTGTATGATGAATTTGTTGCCTCTACCAATACTTTAACTTTGTTATACATCTTTATTACCTGCTTATCTAAAGTTTTATGTTCCCAGCTGTTTAAACCTATAAATACATTAAATATACAAAAGCTTAAATAATCTCACACATTCAAGAGATTTGGTTCATTCCTCTGCTAGATGTTTCTTTTTCATTGAAGGGATATCCACCTTTCGGAGTTGTTAAGGCAGAGTCGCAGGTTGGTTGAGTGAGTGGAAATCTATGGAAAAGTCAGTTTTATTCCCTATTAAAATCAAACTTTATTTAAAAATAATATAACAATGATGATAAAATAAATATGTCAGGTGTATAAATAATAAGAATTATTCATTGTAAAAAAGAACAAATGGTAAAACAATCCCTCTGAGAATTAAAAAAACAGAGAGAGAACATGCAAATATAACCAAAACAGGCAGTGCCTAATATTCAAACTACTCTTATTCTTCACCCTTTAGTGCAATAATGCAAGCATCACAATACAAGTGCTGCACTCAAATGATTTAACTATTAATTTATCAACCCTTATAATTTTATTCTGTCTTTTTATTTAACACCAATTCCCAACACGTCTCAGAGTGGTTTATGAATAAAATCATTTATATCATACAGTCAGATTGGTTATAAAAATTTCTATCCAAGCAGACCAGAGTCATTGTGTTGAGTCATTGACACACTCCTCGTTGATAAGCATATGATGATAGTAGATATTTGCTTTCATTTTGTTGTGGACAGTCTCACACTGAGCATACATGCAGCTTCAGTGGAGAGGAAAAACTCCCTTATAATAGGAAGACACCTCCAGCAGAATCAGGCTCAACTTCTGCCAAGACCATGTGGTGTTCAAGGAGACAGAAGAAGATATACAAAATGAACATAGAAGCACTAATCCATAAATACTTTCTATGTTAGAAAAGGTAAAGGTGAACCTCCTCAAAAGGTGGCTCTGTCTGGGAAAAAAATGGTTAAGCAGACCAGCTCTGGGCCAGTTATCACTTCAAAGGGTTAAAAGCAAATACAGTTTGTCACAATAGAAGCTACGTCAAATAGCTATATCAAGGAGAGAAACGGGACCAAATATTGAAAAATAGACCAAACTCTATCATCTATAATCAAAGATGTTATTTGGCAGTAGCCTGGTTGATATTTCTGACTAGGATGATGTCACAGCTAAACAGGAACAGACAAGATGAAGCTACTATGACAAGAAAAAACACAGCAGAATGGGAAAAGAGAGAAAGAATGAAGCAGACTGATGTAATGTGGTCCTGATGTCCTCCAGCAGCCTAAGCCTTTAGCAGCATAAATGTAAACGTAGGTTAACCTGTGCCACTTTAACTGTGAGCTTTTTAAAAAGGGGAAGTTTTAAGCATATTGTAAATATGTACCCTCAACCAAAAAATTATAAAATTAAATTTGTATACCAATTTTTTACACATTCTAATAATTAAGATATATTTCAATCATGGGAGTATTTTTATACTTTTTCAGCTTAGTCAGATAGAACCCCGTCCACGTTTCCAGTCTTAAGAAAGAGCAGATCTGAGCACCAGCTGGGATCATACTTAAATAAATCTGACGAGGTAGCATTTTTTTAAATAAAATGAACATCAAAACTGGGATTTATATATCATATTCTTTAAAGTTATTTATACTGGGGAATGGTGTATAGGATAATCTTTTGATGGAGC